GCTTTCCGTGTCCTAAAATGAAACATTAAAGGGAAACATGATTATCGCGCGGGCATGGTAACGAGTTAAAAATAGCATCAATGATTCTAAAAATAGTCATGCGCTCATCGAGCGTCTATTTTTTAATCACGCAAAACAGTTTTATATCTAAAGAGGATAATAATCGATTTTATGGAATTCTTATCGAAAACAATTTCATGGCAATGCAGAATGCTCGTATTCTGGTATCGTGGCCCGTCAAGTTCCTGAAATTTGGATGCGAACGCAACCTTGAGAAAACGGTCTATTCCAAGTTTGATTACCTGCTTAATCGAAAATAGGAATGGCTGAACTTGAAATTAGTATTCAATTTTCAATTTTCAATGTTTTCAATACATCAAAATGCTTAGTAAACGATTGAATGGCGGAATGATACACGCATTATTATGGTCTATAACGCTTTCTATGAAATCAAGAGAAAATGAACTAAGAGAAGGAATCCCCGTGCCCCATCATGTGCACACTTTGATGTGGCTACTGCAGAATTGCGAAACTGGGGTATATATTTTCGTCCGCGTTGAGGGGTATACCCAGGATTTTCTCCGAGGTATGCACTGCAATTCCGCTTCATTGACCTTCTTTTGTCTTTTAATTTATATTCTCACTAAATTACTTATGTCGTGTTTTTCTATGACAACGTTTTTGCAAGTAGGTGTGTATATATTTATTGATTTCCCTCCACTTTTCTGAAACGCATGTGCGTAATGGCATACAACTAGGTACACTACTGTGGTTGTTGTTTTCATATTATGGCTCGCCCTGGCACTAGTTTCCTGTCTTTGTGTTTGGTAGTTTTAGGCCAGTCTTTAGGCCGGGCTGGGAGCTGAATGTTTTGGAGGGCGACGTTCCAAAGAGCTGTTTTGAGTGTTCCCAAGTTTCGTTGAAAAAGGCCCCTATATTATTTCCTGTTTGTTGTGGTCACTACATCAAATTTTTATTATTTTTTTTGTTTTTTGAGCGGGCAGAGTGAAACCAAATGAAAGTTGTGATAAATAAAAGTGAAAAATTTTTAACAATCAGCCATGAACAGTCGAGTCTCCCACCAAGAGGTTTCAAGGCCGTCATCGGTTGTCATCCCACTCGGCAATAATCGGAGTACAGCGAGATTTTGTTGTACAAGCRTTGATTGGTTCCGAAGTTTGTTTATTGTTTCGTATCGAATTGTTTATTATTGATAATGATTGATTATTGGTTCCGAAGTTGATCACAATGCCTCGAAACCCTTTCGACTAATTCCGATCGTTTGCAGAGTCACACTCACTCTTACGGACGGACGACGGACGGACACAACTCGATGACTTAGTGACTTCGCCTCTTCGAGGCAGTAGCCACAAAAATTGAAATTGAAAATTGATTTCTAATTTTTGAAAATATGTGCTGGCACGTGAAAGCTGAAGCACGTGACCTTAACACCTGACCGGTTTTTGGCGCCAAATTGAATGAAGGAAAGGTGGAAAAAGAGCCCTTTATTTTCATATAAGAGGACTGAGTACCGAGAGACGACTAAGAAAAGCCAAGGTAAATTTACGGAGACTTGCTACGATGTTCGAGGTAGGAAATTGTACTTGCCTGCCTTTCATTTTAATAATACTGTAACTGTCCAAGTATTTTCTTAATTGGACAGCATGGAGTCCTATTACATATCACTAACTCGTAGGAATAATTCTAGCAGCGTTCATACATACAGTGTATGCTAGAGTTTTTGCGGATCTTACAGCACTGATATTGTCATTCTTTTAAAGAATTAATAAGTCTTTAGTCGTATTTCCACTACTTTTAAGGAAGTTTGAAACGAATTCAACACCCACTTCTTCGAGTGCCGCCATGACTTGAAAATTTGGCGCCAAAAACAGGTCAGGTGGTACAGGTAGCTTTTTACACTTTTGGGCTATTCAGTGAAAAATTAGAAATCAATTTTCAATTTTTAATAACGCATATCACAGCTTCATGATTTTATTGATTATCTGGTTGACGACGATAACTGAAAAATGAATTTGGATGTAAATTTTACTATCCCATTTCTTTTTTTTTTTCTTTTTTTTTTCAATTTTAATTCCATTTCTTTGTTGGCTGTTTTTGCGAAGAATTAAGGCAAGGTTTGATTTCTTGCTTAATCGAGGTGACTGCCTACTTTTGAAAAAATTAAAAATATTTAACTTTTTTAAAAACTTCGATTTTCCGAATTGAAATTTAATGCTGATTCCAAATCTGGAAAGAAAAATTGGGTGTCCCGAGTTTGTCTTTGAGACTGATCAGCATTTAATGGAAGCCTACGCGCGAGCTTTTGGAGCAAAAATTGCGCCACCGGAAGTGATTAGTAAAAAATTMAGATYGATAAGATAATAGTTATTTGCAGACTCTATGATTGCACGAATAACGGCTAGTCAATCATTCTACAATAATACGTGGATTTTTTCGACAAAAAGAGAAAGAGATACATTGATTTGTCATATTTTGTAGTTTCGGTGCTCTTAAAATATCTCATAAAGTCGAATAAGATTCTCTACAAAAATTTGATTTTTCTAAATTGTTGATATAACCTAGATTTTTAGGATTTTATTCAAATAAGCTATTAAAAAATAGAGAGTCTCGTGCAAAATTTGAGGGTTTTGCCCTGTTGAAGCTCAAAACACGTAGTGGTTCTTCAGTAAAATCTTGTAGATTCAATCGTAGCTGTTCAAGTATACCGTGCAAARCCGAGACTATCCCATCTTTGGTCATTTTCATTGTGAATTCAGATCATAGTGTAATGATTTTAAGACCCGACCATTAATCTAAATTTCCTTTCTTCGTTGTTTAAGGTGGCTGCCTACTTTTGAACGTTCGATTTGAGGCCACGATGTGCGCGCGCTCAAAAACCGCTGAACTTGAACTAGTATTAATTGAAATACATTAAGATGCTTAGTAAAAGACCTGTTTGGATTTACAAACAAGTCCAAACAGTTAATGGAGGAATCTGGTACACGCATTAAAAAGACGCAGCCATGGTGACGTCACCCTCCTGTTACCAGATTATGACAACCAGTTTTTAGCCCAGATCATCTTGAGCACATTCCAAGCTACAAAGCAAAAGCCACAATTTGTGGTCCAGCAGGGCCGTCATCAATAGCCCACTTCCGACTTTTCGGTGTGATTTGTAAATTACCTCTCAAATCAACGGAAAAAATAGCGAACGAAGCGACAAAAATAACCGCCTGTCTTGCTTGAGCGTACAACGCCTCAAGTTAATCGCAGGAAATAAAATGCCATTTTTTATCGGCATTTCCTTATCACTTAAATAACACATCATCCCACAAGGGATTATAAATCCTATGTATAAATGCTGGATTGCTAGATAAAGAAGAACAGCTAAATAATTTAGAGTTTTCCTTTATTTAATCTTGGTAAGGATGGTTGGCATTTGGTCTTCCCCTGATATAACCAAAGAGCCACTACGCCATTTTGATGTTCTCGTGAACCCTTGCATCCTGCGCGATATGCTGGAAAAAATGCGGGAAAACCTTTGTCTTCTTTTTTTTTTTTTGATTTCTTTCTTTTAGATTTGTATTTTAAAAGATGTCGGCTCGATGGCCATAGGCATGACATGATACAAAATATTTTATCTTTCTTTCTTTTTAATATATGCGGCTAAATTTCAAACGCTGGGAGATTTTCGATATCTTTAAAATAATGCAATTATATTCAATGGCACCTTTAATTTTTACCTTTCGAGTTTTTAAATGTTTTTACGGCAACAGCCGTGCAATTGATCCGATATATCTATTGTTCCAAAGTTTATAAGCTCGTGGTTTATTACAGCTGTCCTCCGAGGTCGCTTTTTTTCATATTGATTTCGCTTCATAAGATTTAGCATGAATTATCGCTGTTTAAAAATAATAGCAAGTGATGCTATCTAAAAACCTTACGATAAAGTTAATCTATTTTTCTCATTTCAGAGCTTGAACTATTTATACACGCACAAGAGTAAGAGAGACACTCCCATCCTTCCTGGCTAGCTGTCATGAGCCTGCGATCATTTGGACAAAACTCTCAAAGACTCAAATAGAGAAGTCTTGTCTACGCTAAAAGTAATGAAACCATCAACTAAACTACTGGAAAAGCTCCAAATTTCTTCACACAAATCTGCTTAATAATTCCAAAAGAACATGGATTCCTTTCACGATGTGGTAAGTTAACTTTAAACAGAGCTGATTGTCTCGTTAACATGTTATATTTATAATGTGCGAGTGTGAACTACGAATCGAAATCCGAGGTCCAAGTTTGTGTGTCGGAATTTTACACTTCTTTAAGCCTTATTGTCTTTGACTTTTATTTTAACAGGGATCTCGTGTTTGGCTGTTAGAGGGTAAAAATTGGGTTCCAGCAGTCGTGACTGAAGCTAAATCGGGACAAGTTACATTTCGAACAGAATATGATAAGGTAAGTAGTTTGTGAGGCTTTTGTTATTATTGTTCACGATCATGATGATCCGAAGACGCCTCCAACATGACTCAACTCAGCTGCTCATTTGCTGCTATGTGTAATTATGGATTCAACGACACATTACATGCTTCRATAGCTTAACATACAATGTTTTCTAAATATTCTAGTGGTATAATTTGTATTGAATAGTTGAATAAATTTATAATTTAACTTAACTAAAAGGACATGTGAGTATTGCTCTCGAATTTCGATTCCACACGAAATTTTGGTTTCGATCAAGACGCAATGATTTGGAATCCTACTTTCGAGTTCATTTTTAATTTTAATTTAAGTTACAGCTTAAAATCCTAAAAAAGGAAAAAAATAGCCAAGAATTTCTAGACGTAAGTTTAAGCTTAATGTGCTTGTCTGCATGCAGTCACACGTAAAATAAAACTTGATAATGTTTCATCTTTTATCTGTCCCGTTTAAAAGGTCGTAGGTGTTAGCAATTGTACTGCAAATTCTTAATGATGAATACTATATTATGTTTTGCAAGTCTGAATTTTTCTACTTCCWTACGACGTATCAGCAGATAGGTTTTATAAAGAGCTTTCGGTAGAGGGTCTCACACTAAACCAGCCAGACCGGAAGTAAATGAATCTTGATATTGATCATGTTGTAGCATATCGATAAAGGTATCATTCACTCGTTGTTCACTCGAGTGATTTACTCCTATGAAAGATGTTATCAGACTAAACAAACCGAAACAATATGTCTAGCATATTAGGACTGGAACATATGAAATATATATTAATATATTACATATCCAAAAAACACAGATATAATTTTTTTCAATCATTCTTTTAGTTTCTTTTTCACAGTCCATCAAATTTAAAAAAATATTTATATTTTTTGAAAGTTTTTCAGTTGTTTTTAGATTGTTTTGAAACTAAAAGCCAAGCCTACATAATACAGACAACATAACACAAGTGCTTGCTATAAACACAACCTTTTTATCAATTGAAAGTGAATTAACATGTAAAAGGATTTGTTTGCTTTACTAATAAACACTAACTAATATGCTCATTCATAACATTTAAGAAGTAATTGTGTTATAAGAGTAAAGTTTACTAATGCCTTAAGTGATTGGGATAATCCTTATATTAATTTACTATCTACTTTCTAGTAGTATTTCATAGGTTTTGCTCTTTTCAGATAATTCTTCAAGTAACTAAACCATGTTTACATGCAGTATATATATAATTATGTCAATCCAATACTGCTTATTCTATTCCCTTGTTACTTGTCTAACCATGTTCATGTTTGTATATGATATGTGTATATACAATAGGGTAGACAGGCAGCTTATGTGTAGGCAGGATTATGGCATATAGAATTATGAGAAAGAGTAAGTAGATGTATATCAATTCCATTCATAATATATACTCTGTTGGATGGTAAAGAGTTATTCTGTGAAACATGATTTGACCATTTTTATTTTTCGTGAAATGAGAAATGGCCATTCTTATCACAGAGCATTTTCACGTGATGTCACAGCAGCCATTATGGGGTACCAAAACAATACACTTTCTATCCTCCAGGAATTGAACTCTATTTTTATGCAAATACTGTGCAGAAAGTTTCTATTGTTTATGGCTGCCTTCTCATGTGAGTGAAAATGCTCCATTGCGAATTATTTTACCATTTGTATTATTCATGAAATGCAAAATGGTCATTTTCATTAATTTTTAAGACATGATTTGACTATTTAATTTCTGTGAAACATGATTCAAACCCCCCTCCCCCTTTACTACATGTATCTAGCATACTGTCTTTAAATKTTTGGTCATTTTCCTCCCCTCCACTCTCCTCCACCTGATTATGGTAATTTGGGACCCCCAAGAAAACGTGATGGGAATTTTTTGGGATAAGGGAAGGCTTGTTATTCTTTGGGGGGGAGGGGGAGGCCTGGGAGATTCGCTGTAAACTTTAAAAAAATAGTTGAAGCCCTCCACTTTTCATGCAGTAAGAAATTGATAACCCTCCTATTAAGTTAACAAGGCAGGGCCGTAGCAAAACTGAATTGTTTACCCAGGTAAATGAGTAGGAAAGGTAGGAGAAACTAGGATTTTTTTACCAAGGGCCTGGCTGTCCTTATAGTGGCTATGTCCTGCAAGGAAACAGCCTATATTTCATCAAAAAGAAAAAGATTTGACCCATAAAAAAGTTCAAAAGTTCAAATTATATTTACCGATGAATGTCCCCTTTGAAGCCGCAGCCCCCCGACCCCCTGACAATAAAAAACGTAACTTCTATGGAGTTAATGGTTCTCAATAAAACCCATAGATATCATGATTTGTAGTAATGCAGGATGAATTTGTATTTTCTGTACTATACAAATGTGTAAAAAAAAACTAGATGCAATTATGCAAGTTCTTTTTTGGCATTGTGATTGCCAAGGTTGCATAGTCGTAAAAGGTTGCACAGAATGATAAGAGAAGTAGTATAGTATGTAGTATGTATAGTGTATGTATTTAGTACAAATGGGACAAATTGGAAACCAGTAAGATATTTGTATCATTCCAACTCTATCAACAAAATAATGTAATATTTAATTTAGATACTGTAATGTTGGTTTGGTGAGTGGCATGGGTGGTGTAGTACGCTGCTAATGCATTATCTTTCACCACTGTGAGTCCAATAGGTCAGGTCACTGGTTCGAGCCCTGTGTACACCACATGTGAATTGAATTTGTTTGATGCATAGTTTGTACTCCCTTGCCACAAGGGTTTTTCTCTGGCTTCTCCTGTTTTTCACCCWCCATAAAAATCAACATGTGAGTTAAGAGTTGTGTGTATACATGTAGGATATTTGAATGTGTAGTTAATTATATTAAGAGCAAGTATGGAGGATACATGATCCCACAAGCCTACCATGTATAGATAAAAAAACATTTATTTATTTATTATTTGTATTTTCCAGTCATACACAATGCCACAAGATGCAATCAATAGGCAGAATGTATCTCCGATGCACCAGACAAGTATTGATGGTGTGGAAGATATGGCTAATTTGGCTGATTTACATGACTCAGCTATACTTCATAATCTACACTTACGATTCAAGACAGATAAAATTTACGTAAGTAGTAAAGCAGTTGATAATCATAATATTGGATGAATTAGCCAACCCAGCATGATTTATAGCCTAGACCATAACCTCCCAATTATAATCCCCCTCCCCTGATTTTAAGCCACCCGTCAGCTTACAGAAATAACCTGCCTGTCATAAGCCCTCATGGATATAAGCCCACTCCATTGATGGAGTATTGCACTGTGCAGCTCCATAGCACATTTGACAATCTGCTTGATCAGATTATAGTTGTTTTTCTGTGCACATTTGTGTTTCAAAGCTATTACAGCTAATGTTACATGAACACTGTTATTCAATTGGAATGGACACTATTGAACATTTTTTAATAGAAATAAATTCATGTGTTT